AATGTATAACTGAGAAATATTTTAGTGAAGATCGAGTACGGTCTGCAATCGAAAAGATCAAAAAAGGGCGGGGATCCGCTACACAGGTATGTTGGTAGACATTCTTGATCCATCAGAGAGCTGCCCATAAATTTTTCGAGTGGAATATCCAATCATCTACAACGTGACTTTTTTTAGGAGTGGAATTCTTGGAAGTTCCTGGAGAGAATATGTTTATTAAGTAGCTACTTTTAGGGTCGAATCGATCTGTTTTTCTCAGTCGACAAGACAGTTCGATCAGAACCAACAGCAGCGAAAAGAAAAGCTCAAGAAGAAAAGAAAGCACCAAAGAAAAAGGGCCCTCCTGCGAAGAGGCCCAAGTAATTATAATCGATACGGGTTTGTTTGTCGCACCTGAATTACACGCGACTTTCTTTTTTCAGTTTTTTGATTTGGTCTTTTGCTCTAGCTGGTTTGCTTTATGGATGTCGAACGGGAAAAGATTCCGTACATTTTACACTTGTTTTACCATTTTGTCAAGTTTCGTTGATCTCGTGGCTGTTTCCATTTTCCGGTAGTATTTGGGTGTAAAACTAGCACAGCTGTCGATTGTATTGATAAAAACTCTTTATTAATGTGATCTTTCTCAATCGTCACCGAATACAACTTGCTTCAAGGCTTCGTATTTGTGTCTTCTGAAGATAAAAGGCATTAGGATTTAAAACTTTGGTGAATTCGGGTTTATCTCCTTCAACTAACCAAAAGGATAATTTCTCTGTTCTTTGCCTCAATTTTCTCACATAAAGCAGCTACAGCTCCTGGTACGTGGTGCTGACCTGAACAAAATAGATCTAATTTTTTTGGCATTTTTTTCAGGTTTGTTTTCCTTATCTATTATTCGTACTGTTGTGAATGAGGAACCAGATAAAGGTGATTCACCGTTTCTGGCAATTTGTCATTTCCATTTCTCTCCGAACCAATAAGGGAGAATTTTTTAGTGGAGCAAAAAAAAGGTAATGAATCAGAAACTATGTGGAACTAAGAAAATTCTCCGAAAAGATGCAATCTCTGTGAGAGAACATATTTATTTTTCATCAAAACATTTCGTATTGAAAGAAATGAATGCGAGAGTGGAAGACTTTGAGAAACAGCGAAGTAAAATTGTTTAAGGAGGCACAAATGATCAAGTACCCAGTCTCAGAAGCTTTAGGATTTCTTGATGAGAAGGCCATAATGCGAACAGTAATAAACAGTAGTGAGCCCCACTACGAAACAATATTGATGTTGTATGCTATATAATACCTGCGACTTGTGTTGTCGACTACCTATTGGTAATCCTACCGCATAGATTTGGTAGGCGATTTGTCAGTCCTTATTCTCTTACCGATTTCTTCCACTAATCTCTTGTTAGCATCGAGGAGACGATCACGATCACGCTCACATTCAGCCAACTTCTCATCCATTTCCAACAATCGAAGACCCATCTGAAAGGACCTAATGGGAATTACTGTCGGCTTCTTTCTGTTTTCAGACTTTAGACTTCTCATTGTTTACCAAAGGGTTTGATCAGATTTGGGTCAGCCTTAATCCTCACCTACCGAGCTACCTGCTCTACCTGTAAACTCACATTTCTTTATGTAGCAACGCTACGTAACGTTTGGGTACTATGCTTTGGAGGTGCTAAGAAAGCTCCTATAGCTTGTAAACAAGCTGATTGTTTCCTTACAAAGTCCGCAGTCTTTACGTCAGACAGGTCTTTTACCAGACCATAATGGTCCCTTTACCATGGATCGGCTATGATCTGTTATGTACCATAGTTCCGTTCATCTCAGGCTCAATTAATACCTCATAACTGTAGGAGATTTCTTATAGAAATTGTAAGATGGTTGGTTCAAATTGTAAGAATCCCACTATTCATGAAATCTGTGCCTTTTACTTTTACTTACTAATTGAAAACTCGTACCTTCTCCATGTTCTTCTTGGTTTCTCTCAACTGAAATACGAGTGTGTCATCCATGGCCACGATCAGCTTCATTTCAGCTGACTGCTCATCTCGGATTGTTCCTCGAACTTCCACAGCTTTGTCTATTTTTTGTGTTTTCGTGTCACTACGGTCTATTACTTCGGGGATCTGGGTAGATGCCCAAGTGACAGCCTTATTTGTCACTTTGACTTGAACCGCTTTCGAATGAAGCTGTACTCGTTGAGCGGCTCTTTCGCGATATTCGAGCTCTGCCTGCGTCTTCTCATACTCCCTCGCCAACTTCGAGTACTGCTCTTGAAGGGAATGTAGCCTCATGGAGAGTGCCGAAACCTCCTAAAACAGTTCCATTCAAACTGACAGCTCTGCTCTTTGAAGGAAAAAAGTGATAACTGAGAACCCACCTCTACTTTTTTCTCGAACTCTTCAACTCTTTCCTTTAAACTTGATTTCAACTCCGCCCTTTCAGTATTCTCAATCATCATTTTCTCCTGAAAATTTATTTATGATTTTTAACCCATTGGTGAATCTACCGAGTGGTGGTACTGGCATTTGTTACGGCTCATCTGGCATACCTGTCAGTTATGGAACCCTAACACCCACCTTTTCGTTTTGAATCTGAGCGATCCGTCGCTGACAGCGGTCAAGCTCTTTCAGCCGCAACTCTTCGTCCCTTCTCAACTCGGCGATCACTCGGTCTCTGGTGCCAACGCGATCTTCAAGTTCTTTCTCTCGTTCAAGAGCGGATGACAGCTTTTTCTTCACGGAATTCAGACTCTCTTCGAGTTTTTTTCGCTCATTCCATTTTGAAATTTCAGCCTAAGATGCCAGATTTGAGGGTTTTATTTGAGGGACTTGGTGATTGTTATGGCTCACCTCAGAACTTTTTTGTCCCTCCCCTGCCCTTTTCTTGAGATCCTCAAGTGTTGCCTTCTGTTCATCGACTGTTTTTCGTAGCGTTTTATTTTCTTTTCGTATTTTTTCAAGATCGAATCTGTAATGAAGCGATTACATTTTGCGTAGACCTTAAAAGACCAGCTGTGGCTGATGAGCTGTACTGACTAGGTTCAGGGTGCACACTCTACGCAGGAACACCTCCTAAAAGCGACCGTCGATGGAATGATTCGCCTGTGGGATTGTGGTTGATGTTGGGCAGTTGATACCACAAAATCTAACTACCCTTTAACCTCTAGGAAACTTTTGTTGCCTTATCTACAGTAACTGTGCGGGGGTGGTGTTGTGACAAGTGGCGCACTATCATCTCACACACATGGCCACGTGTTCGAATCCCAGATCAATGCCCGCCTAGGCCAACCAAGCCTCTCTCCAGAGTCGGCTAGTTGGTGCCAGACACATCTGGGAGGATAAATGCACTGTCTTATGAAGCGGCTGGCCACCGCAAGTCATTGTATAGGCCACATACGCACTCATTACGACACTACGATTCTGAATGGGAGTCGAGTGCTGGGGAGCATCCCTTGGATGGGACTGATTAACGCCCCAAGACTTCGTCCTTTTTCCTTTGTCTACAGTAACTGCTGTTCCCAACGTACCGTATCTTTAACATAGTCTGTTCATCTGGTTCCTTCATCTTTGCCGCCGCTTTGGCCTCCATTTCAACCAAGGCATCTTCGCGAATTTTCTCACATGTCAGGAGCAATTCCTAAATGGAAGCATTCATATGCTCTTGTTAGCATTAGACAGTGTTACTGTACATTACCGTATTCCTTTAGCTTGCCTACCTTATTGTTCGCTGTCAGTCGATGTAGTTTCCCTTGAAGCTGTTTGATGTCGTTCTTATACCTGGCTCGCTCCGCTTCCCACTTTTTCTCCTGGAACATTCTATTTTCACCCAATGGACATTGACCAACGGAAGGATTAGCTTACCACCTTGCTCGGTTCCAAAATATCGGTTCCTGGTGAATTCCGTGATGATTCATTCCTCTCTACGCTCATCTCTTTTTCGGCAGGAGCCACCGCATCTTCGGTTTGTGCGTCGGTTTGGCATTCCACCTGCGGACAAAGGACTTTTAAAAGCTTAAAGGGGAAAAAAGAGTTGTAACTTCTGCATCAAAAATTAGTATCGGGAAAATAATTAGCTTAAGTATAAAAAAACCAAAACCACGAGAGCCCTGGGAGTTCCGGGACCTTCAGTGAACACTTACGGTGTTTAGCGTGGTGATGACACTTCGGCGTTGCTTCCGGTACAGTTCTCGATTTGCCCTTTCAAGTTCTTCGAGTTCTTCCTAAAGTCGAGAAATTGAACGATATCGACCCCTTAAAGACGCTATCGCTCACCTTCAACCTCGCGACTTCACCGAAGGACTGCCTGAGGCGCTCTTCAGTTTCCTCATCTTTGACTCGAACTTCTTCACGGATGATTTCCTTTTCAATGATAGGACGTGAACTGGCAGCTAGTTTCTTCTCAGCCAGTTCACGGAAGATTCTCAGAGCTTCTTCCTTTTGAAGTAGTTGGTTCTGAAGCGAAGACGTGTAGATAAGAACTATCACAATATGGTTAGAAAAGAAGGTTAAGGCGACATACTCAAAGAAATTACCTCAAAAGGAGTAATCTGAAAATAGTAGGTAGTAAGTAAATTCAGAATTTCTATGTTCTATATCTAGTAAAAATTGGAGTGGCTCGCGGAAGGGAAGAAAACTAACTCTCAAGTGTCCTCATCCGAGTCATTGATTGGATCGATCCATTACCGAAGTAGTTGATTACGGTAGGATAGTCGAATGAATATGGGATACGTGGGGGAGGGAGGGAGAGGGTTATGTAATTGCCCTTGAGAAACTACATCCAAAAGGCCTCCTGGGGACCCCCATATCAGATTATAGGGTGGTCCGGTCTATAACTGATGGTGTAGCGGGAAGGCAAGGGGAGGGGAGTTACGGGACAGATCTACCTCGGCGCTCTGTGTGCAGCGCCCATCCCACTGGGTTTCTTTTAGCCGATGCGATGGGCGCTGCACCCGGAGCGTCTGGGTAGACGAATGAGGCCCAGCTGTTGGTGGGCGTAGGTTATATTGTCGTCTTGAACATGTGGCGTAGAGTGATTGATGGCTACAGTCTTATCTGCGGGGCTAGCAGATAGCGAGGGTAGGGTGCAAGTAAAGAAAACTTTTGTAATACCTACTTTATAGTTCTGAATACAAATCTCAGCAGCCTCTTTCATTTTGACCAGTTGCTTCTCAAAATCTTTGGAGTTGTCCTGGAGAATAGTTTTCACCTCCACTCCATCGGAATCCGTCGAAGAAGCTGAAAATTGGCTATGCCTAGTCGATCGCAAGATCCGGGATTCCTGCTTACCTTCTGATCCATCCCTAGAGCTGAATGGCTCTTCGAATGTTGGAGACCTGGAGGGTTCCCGAGTCGACACGGGTTGGGCCTGTTCTTCGACCTTCTTCTGTTCTGCTGAAGCCTTCGCAAAAAAGCTGGAACTTGCTATGGCCGTCAGCAGTTGTTCGTTTTCTTTTCGCATGTCGTCCAATTCGTCTCTAAGCTCTGATAGTTGTCGATCTCTCAGATTCAACTGCAAAATTCCATTGTTAAGAGCCTGTCGGCCTCATCACAGAAGTCACCTACCGTATTCTTTATCCGATCGCTGGCTATCGTTTGCAATTCAAGGCTACTATATACTGCTTGTAGCCTACGCTCCAACTTGGGAACATCACCGTTATCTTCAGCGATACCCTCTCTTGCCTTACGGATAGACTTTTGCACTATGAGCTGCTGCTCGAGTTCGTTTCGTATCGATTCGACCTGAAATTTACAATACAAGGGGTTTCGGGCTGGAGGACCATGACAGTTTTTGTGCTTGTTTGTTAGTTCACTTTTGGGGTTTTCATTCTGAAGCTACTCCCACACCGAGGTGCTGCTTAGTTTTAATCCAATTTCCTTTTCTGTCTGGAATCAGACCCTACTGATGTATCCTAGTGTTTGAATTCTGGGGATGTGGGTTTTCAGGGCTTTTTGGTTAACGTCCAAATGATAAAGTGCAGAAAAGGGACATCACTCTTTTCAAAGTAAACTGTAAGAGTAGTGTTAGTGCACAAAGACGGTGGGATGAACCTAGGCATGCTGGCATGCTATTTTAGTAGCTGTCAGCTCAGAAAACTACTTTTTTCTGAAGCATGTTCCGGTCCCCTAAGGGTGACGGCGATCGTAGGTTTCTACGATCGCAGTCATCCTGAATTGTATCAGTTGATGTTCACTTGGTTAGAGAAGATACAAAATAAACAGATTTTGATTAAAATAGATAAATAAAAATAAATAATTCCCTGAAGTGAGCAGATTACGCATAGACAACTGTTTATTTGTAGTGGGTTGATTTCAACCTCATGTAAACAATCATAGAGCTTAATGGTAACTCGGAAAGATGGAGCCTGTCTGCGTATTACTCGGAAACTTAGTACGAGTAATAAAAATCATTTCTTTGAAATAGTACTTCTCCTAAGAAGCAATAGAAACGACGTGCATGCATATGGAGCCGTTTTGGAATGCGCCCTGCACTCGATTTTTCAGAATACCAACGCTGTAAGGCCTTCACAATGTGTTCCGCCAACTTATCAATCTGGTCCGTACTGTTATCCTACCAGACAAGCATGGCACCAATCAACCGACCCCGGAGGGAAGGAAGACTTGTCCCGGACCACTCATACGACAGAGTGCAACATAGACTATACCGCTCAAGTCCTGCAGTGCTTTACAAATGAAAATTGTGCTCTAATCCAAAAACCTGACCCTATGACATGAGGGTCTAATCTACCCTTGCCTTTTTTAGAGGGGCCTCCGATCGCATCACAGTACTCTAAATTACCATCGGTGCTGACTCTTCTCGATGGCTGAACTTCTTCATATCATTCCCCTCATTTCAGTTCTGGATAACCTTATTCGACCCACCTTATACCAATTTATATGACTTGAGTCAGGATTCATAAGGGAACTTACTTTGCTCTTTGTTTCGTCGACCTCAAGCTCATTCTCACGAACTTCGCGAATCTTCGCTTTGAGCTTTTCAATTTGAGGCAGACTTAAGGCATTCAATGAATTCATCTGAGCAGTCTGAAAACAGTCAAATATGAGGGGAAACAAAGTCTGAACTGTGACCGAAGAAGTGTCTAACAGTACTGAAAGAGCCGTTTGAAGTGTCTTTATGGCATAGACGAGCCGTGTCCGCTCAGCGGTCCATTCCCTACGTCCTTTTGCCAAACTCTCCTCCGCTTCTCGAGCCTTCCTGAACTCACGCTCATGATCCCGTCTTCCTTCTTGTTGCTCTCTAATCGTCTCCAGTAGGCGCTGCTCAATTGAGGCTGAAAAATGTATCTTTCTAGGATTAGGATGGAAGCATGGAAGCACATTAAAAGAGAGCATCATGGTCGGGACTTCAGCGATTTTATAGGGGGGAAAGCGCGGAGTGAGGAAAGAAAAGAAGATAATAGGGGCCAGGATTCCAAGAGCTCTCTGGAAGTTCTTCCGCTCCGAACAAACCGTACCCAATATATTCTTCAGGTCACTCTCATTTTCCATGTCCTCGACAAATCGCTTTAACTCCTCGTTTTCATTTTGAAGAATTTCTGTTTCCTTCGACCAAAAGTCGTTCTGTTCGCTAAGCACCTCCACAATCTTCTGAATACTTTGTGAATTGCATTGTCTGGTCTTAGAAACCTTATCAAGATAGGTACTCTATAAGTGACTTACCTTCAGATACGAGTTCTTCGCCTCCAACTCGTCCATCTTCGCATCAGTAGGTGCAGCAATCGTGACGACGTTCTCCTTCCAAACCTCGTCCAACTCACTTCCCAACACTTCAGAAACACACTCCTTCTTTAAACGAAGCGCTAACTTCTCGTATTTTTCGATGGGCACTGAACGGACTAGCTGACCTTGGCATTCTGCCAGATCAATCAGTGCCGTGTCCTACAAGTTCTCTTTGAGTCTATGATGGTTGCCTGATCAGTGCTTGGACTCACTAGCTGGTACTGTAGCTGAGCACAACGCTTTCCAGCCTGGGTTTCCACCACAACCATTCGGTCGCGTGCTCTTCGCATCAACTGCTCCGCTCTGGCACTTCGCCGTCTCAGGGCAGTATTTGAACGGGACAGGCTGAAAATCTCATTGAATCGGGAAATTCATAGTTTAAACAGTTTGCGTAGAACAAGTTCTTTTAAGGGGTCGGTTATGCATAGAAGGTCTGCCTACCGTATCCGCTCGATCTGTTCGTTGATGAGTTTCCGTGTCATTTCCTCAACTCGTCGTTCAAGATCAGAACCACCGGTACGAATTGTGGACGCGAAGCGCTAAATATAACCAGTCCAGAAGGTGAATGAGAGAATGGATGAAAAATGAGGAGGAGGAGGAGAATTTCCCGGTTTCCTATCTCGTACCCGCAGTTCCAGTAATTCAGGAGTTTCCTCGTCTTTATCGGGCTCATGGTTGCTGTCGTTGACTTTTTTCAGGCGATAGATCTCCTCGTATGCTGCCTGAAAAGTGCTCAAGATCAGATGGGAGCTCCAGGTTGATTGTGTAGGGCACAGTGAAAGTGTGCCAAGGACTCTTACAGTTGCTTACGGGATGACCTCTCTTAATTGTTTTTTACGGGCCATCCGACCACGATACCACAAAAGCATTCACATAAAAAATCTTTTGACGGTAAACAATCTTATCTTTGAAATGCGCCCCCTCATTCGAGTGCCATTCAGAATCGTCGTAGTGTTTTGAATATGATTGCAATCTATACAATGATTTGGAAAGGCCAGTCGATGCACAACCCAGCGTTTCTACCATATCAGACGATTTTGCGTTCCTCAGGATGTGTCTAGTAGTAAATACCGACGCCAAAGAAGAGATGTTTGGGTGGTTTGAGCGAATATCGACCCACAAGTCGATTTCTAGGCTATGCTTTACTGAGAATGCACCTTTTGCCATGACACCACCATCGCTCTGAATATAAACGTACAGCTCCGTCTTCCGTACCAGGGTAAATCACCCATAAAATATCACTCTCGTGCACCACGACCTTTCAGTATGAAACTTCCTGTATACCTTTTTGTCATCACCCGTTTCACCTTTTGTCCTGTTGATCATCGGTTTAATTGAGCGGGGTCAGTAACGTCTCTACCCGTCCCAGCATAGTCCAGCGAATAATAGTCGCTCGAGGGAGGGTGTGGTGCATTAGGAACGAAATGGTCGCGTCGCGGTGAGAGGGGCGTCGTGCGCGAAGGTATGTAGCAGGATGCAGCAGTAGGTAAAAAATACAATAACAAAAGTACAATTAATAGAATTATGTATAAAATAATGATCGCATATCGATTGAGCTGTCTAGAGAACGCTAGAGCTGTAATAACGGCGAATGAGTGGCCCGCGACAGCCGCGTGCGGCAAATCGATTACCCAAAATCGTTCCTAACGCTCGTCTCCCCTCGAGGGACACTGGGTAAAACATTCCTTCCTTTCAGAACTTCCGTGAAGAAGTGTGACCATTGCGCTGACGGCCGTCCTGGTGTACTTTGCCGTCCCAGGGATCCATTCAGTAACTGCCCTGTTACAAAGGTCATCACGATATCGATAACGTGTTCGGCCCTCCTGATCCTCAATTTCCTGTTCTCTTCAACTCTTTTATCATACCCGATTACAACGCATTTAAGCAAGCACTTTTTCTTAGGGATAGGTAAGAACCTATTGCTTGTGTGCGGCTGATTATGGGTGAGCGTAAGCCCGAGCCTTTACTAGTCTTCATCAGATCTTTTCCCTACAGACTTTTGGCGGGTGATCGAATCTTCCACTGTTGTTTCCCGTGTGTTGGATCAGATCTGCAACGAAATTGTCGCAGAGAGGTCACCTGTTGGGACATTTTGTTCGAAGGAGCTTAGACCCCAGGCGATGTACGAGAGGTGCTAAGTGACCCCACCTTACAGTAATTCTCACATTCACACTCATTCAGAACTGCCGACGTACCTATTCGTACTAAAAGGCCACTAGAGAAGGTATATAAAGAGATGGGATCCATGGTGTTCGGGACACTTCTCATTTGTGCGTCTGTACTGCGTCTGTACTGTGTCCATGTCTACAAAAAATCTCATTTATCCCAAAAGTTCTCAAGAGGACTCGCTTACTTGCACCCTTTCATCGCAGCGCCGTCTTCCGTACCAGGTTATTCCACCTCCACCGTACCCAATGTTTGTAGGATTCCCTCCTCCTCCTCCTCCTCTTCCTCCTCCTGAAGCGGCTGGAGTTCCCTTTTACCCACCCTTCCCATTGCTGCCATTTCCGCCTGCTTATGGGCTTGTCTACCCTTTTTGTCCAGGTCCGCTTCCTTCTCTCTACCCAGACTCACCTTCGCCTCCTGCGTCTTTTTCTGCTGGTCGTGCTCCATCCTCTCCTCCTCCTCGCTTCGCTTCTCCTCGTCCTGCTCATCTAGGGGATGCTCCACTTCCAACAACTTCCCCGATTACAATTGGCGATTCTCCACCGTCGTCACCTTTACGTTGCTCACCTTCATCATCACGTCCTCCCCGTCCCGCACNTCCTTCTCCGGCTCCTCCTTTATTTGATCATTCTTCTCCAAAGCCTATTCTGGACTCACCTTCACCACTACGCCCCCCTCGACCAGCCCCTCCTGCCCCACATCCTCTGATTTTTGAACATTCATCTCTGATACCTAGTCCTCTTCTGGAAGACACTCTTTACTCTACAGACCTCTCTCTATCTCCAACTCTTCAACACAGTCCTCAACCAGGGTGCTCTTCTCGCCCTGAACCTCCTTCCCCACTTCCGTTACACTTTTCTCCTTCTCCAGCTCAGGATCACTGCCAAACATTCTATTCGTCGCCTCCACCTTATGTTGCCCCTTCTTCCTTCAAAAGTGACCATTCAGTATTACGTAGCCTCCTCAGCTCCTGCTCAAAATCGTTCTCCTCCGGTAATTCTGACGGATCATTTCCAAATCCCTATTCTTATCCTCAATCAACAGCCCAATTTGACGATAAACCTCTATCATGCCATGATTGTGACCCATCTTCATCCCTCGCGCCACCACTTCCACCCCAACCTGATCCTGAGCTTAAACCACTGTCCCAATCGGGCCCTCGTGCACCATTGCCCTCTGATGTCGTCAGTTGTTTTTCAGGGTTAGCCACCACCGCAGCGGATTCCGGGTCAAATCAACGGGATCAACGCTCCGAGAACAGATTTTTCGGAGTGAGACAGGTAAGTAAGAGGGGAAAAAATGATGTTCTAATCTATAGAATTCCAGGTACGCCATATTGCTATACTTTTATCCAGACTCACGCCAATAAGTACTCCAAATCGTATCGTTGTCAAAATTGTGCGGATGAAAAGAAGAAAAATGGAAGTAAAGAGAGGATGAAGCTAATCAAAGTGAGTTCGGAAGAGAAGTTTTTGGAATGGCTTCATCAGATAGTTTACGGTATGCTTTTAAGGTTATTGAGAATGAATTCGTTCAAGATCCATGCAGTATGAAGCATGTATGCCATCCGAAGAAGTATGCAGAAGAAATGGGAAATAGAATTGTTTACGAGGTAAACATCAAATTACTAAAGTGGTATAAGTAAGGATAATGAGTTTTTTTTTCAAGAAAGCTCAAAATGTTAGAAGAAATCCGGGTCAAGCCAAGAAAAAGCCGGTGGAAATATTCAGAGAACTACTGACTGGACACTATGATGCAGACAACGGTCAGTGTACGGTTCTTTTCAGTTTTCCATTCTGTTTTCAAATTTTATTTACCGGAAGCTGTTGGAGTTCAAGTCACAGTTGTAAATAGTAAATAGTAGGATTAGTAAATAGCTACTATAGAAAATAGTGAAGTTGATGAAGGATGCTAAAGCAATTTTCTTTTGAGAATTTCGATTTCAGAGGCGATGGAGGACGAAATAAAAGCGGCAATCCGACGTACTGGTTATAAATCACGTAGAAGGGTCTTATCCTAGTACGCAAGCTCTATTAGACACTAATAGTTACCAGTTAATCTGAAAAATTTTCAGCTCTTTGCGAGTGAGTAGAATCAGACTGGCCGAGTCGCACAACTCCACATCGGAAAAATCTCCGGAACTGTAGAGAAATTTGATAATTGGCAGTTTCGATAATTCGTAATATGTTTGTAAATATTATTGATATTTATAAAAATGTGCTGGAGCAAAATGCTGAGCTCAGAGAACTATACGTTAAACGTCTTTCTGTGCATTCTATTTGTTAGTATTTATTATTGATTTAAATGTATTGAATCACGATGAACCCCTAATATGCCAGTATAATGAATGAATAATTTGAGACAGGCAAAATTCAAGTCGAGAATTGCAATTACGTGCCCCAGGAATGGGATTTTCCTACCATTCAATTATTCATTTAATTCTTGCATCTCGTAGGGATATTAACATTCCGTCAGGGCCTTACTAAATGTACCTACTTCCAAGAAGATTGTTTCTCGTTCGGCGAGTGCTTATATCCTGGATGGTAGGTTAACAGACAATCTACAACAAGGAGGGGTGATCCTCCAAGAAACAGAGTAGAGGCTTCATTTCGTAGCTCCTTTTTCGTTGAAAGTTCTAGCCCACCAAGACAACTGTAAACTAAAAAGGAGTTCGGTACCAATGGAAGAGTACGGTAACTTCAGCCCACCAGATTTCAAGGGGTGGGGTCCATGTTTTCGCCACCTAGCCTCACATCCCCGTGAGACTCCACTCCTCCTTCTTCCTGATTCACTGTGAAAAATCACTACAAATAGCTACAAGGACATGGGTTACAGAAGAGGATATTTCCAAAATTCAAATGACCCGCCCTTGGACTCGATATTTCGACTATTGAGGGTTTTGTTTTCAGGTAAACTGGACGGCTAGAAATGAAAATAGTTCACTGCTCAAGAATTTTTCAACATCGATTGAACAAGAACTCTTCTCCTTCCTACCCTACTCCCTCCCTACTCCCAACATAACAAGCCGACTTACGTCATTCGTCAGAATCAAAATGTGATTTCTCCGAGTTTAAGATGTCGGAAATAATCATAAAAGTTGTCAGAACAGCTGATTCCGTCTGCAGCAAATGACGTTCAACAACCCTGAGAGTCGGCACTGATAGTTAAGGTAGTATAACGGCGACGGGCAGGGTTCATATCGAGAGCAGCATTTCTCTCATTTCAACTCCTTCCTCTTCCTGCTTTTCCTCTGTGGTGACTGTCGGGTACAGTTACCACTAGAGCGACGATCAGCCTCAGAATAGTCTATCTGACTCCTATGTTGCACAAGCGTCATATAATTTTTGGGCACAGATTCAATTTCGACCCCTTCACACCTTTATAGTTGAAGTGGAAGACTCACAGAAAGCTCAAAACCATGGCTACCTTGACAGGGCGTCAAATTAGGGTCAGCAATCACCAGAAGAAAGTGTTGGGTACAATACAGATAAAGTCGTATGGAACTAACCTTCAGCTGAGACTTAGCGTCATCCATTGCACGTCGTCCATTGACAAGTACAGTTTCCATTTCAGACATCTCTTTTTGCTTTACTTCTTGTTCCTGAGCAACAGACAGTTGAGATGGAATCATTTAAATTACCCAGGCAAAGACGCCTCACCTCTAAGATAAACATTAGCTCCGAGTAAAGACTAGCAATCAGCATTGCCTGTTGTTCCCAGACATCTTCACTGAGTACACGGCGACGGACGGATGTCCCCTCAGTCTCCGTAGCGACTCCCGTCTTTGGACGACTTTTCGAGGTCTTCCTTGGTTTCTTCTTCGGAGAATCTCTTTGTGGAACGACGTCGGGTTGGGATCCGTTCACAGTCTGAATTTCCTGTTCTTTTCTCTGCTCGACGGTCTGCCCAGTTGGTTTCGGGGGTTGTTCATCGTAGTTGGCAAGTTCGATTTGTAGCATTGTGCAGAGATTGGTGAGCTGAGAGATTTGGGTGTCACGGAAGGATATCTGCGTCATCAGCCGCTTCACTTCCTCCCTTGCATCGCCGAATTTCATCTGAAAATGATGTCTTTCCAAAACCAAACCTAACAGACCAACTCACCAGTGTACGGGATTTTCCCAGAACATTCCCGAATCAATAACAATACTGTCTTTCTGAGAAACCTAATCCTTATTCAGATGATAACTGTAAACTACTTTCAAAAAATGATAGCTGACCTGCATAACTCTTTCAAGTTCCGCTGAAAGTTGGCTGTTCAATTCGTCTTTGCTGACCAATGTTTCCTCCAGCTCTTCAATAGCCTTCTTCTGTGCAGCCACCTGGAACAGTCTACTTATTCTGGACCAAAAATCTTCAAATGCCTTGGGCTCAAGGCTAAGGTGAAAGTAGAAGGGAGTATTTCAGATGCAAGTCAAGTCATGAATTGGGTTAACTGTGAAGCGTCCAGTGAGCAGTACTTATCTCCAACGATGTAAAGAAGATCCTTACTGAAGCGACGCTCCCGTGGTTCTCAACATCTCTTCAGTAGCTATTTAGTATGCCGGTAGGGTACTTGTGAAAACGAGAACAAGAGAACGTGATGCTCTCGAACAACACGTAAGTGACCGATGAGGTTCGAGTCTGGAGGCTTATCAAAATCGCTTCTGCATTGTAGAGGAATCAGATGGAGGATACGATACGTGAATTGCAACGAAGGATCTCAGCAAAAAGTGAAGAGACGACAAACGAGTGGGAACCCCGAAAGCTTCGACAGCGTAATGAGCAAGCTGTAACCCTTACTCGACAAATGCAGGTTGGTGGAGCTTGCCCAGGTTGCTTTACTCTCCTGAATCGCTAGAGTTCTAGGCAATCGTGCTGCAAAACGATGAGCTACGTGAAGAGGTCACCCGCGTTGGAGATGCACTTGAAGAAGCTACCCGAGTCATCAACGAGAGCGCATCCAGGTCTTTAAGCAGTTACTTTTCCTGACAGTTTGTATACGAACGCGGTAACAGAGAGAAGTTCAAAACCAATCTATGGATTGATAACAAGAACGACTAAGTCTCTATAACACTCAGACATCCACTATAAAGTTATGAAGTTTCCTCCAAAGAAGAGTTTCCAGTTTCCTCTTTCCAATCTTTGCACGATTTGAGAGGTATTTCAATAGCTGCAGTTGTTTGTTTTATTTTTTCATTCATGGCGATTCAAACATTAAAAGCTAAGACAACAAAATTGCTTCAACAGACCTTCTCATTGGCTTGTTCGAGATGGGTTTCGAGTTGCATGATTCTGAGCTGGAAGCTGACGGTGGGATCAGCCGAGGCAGTCTTTGATGTCAGCTCTCCATACAGTGATCGTGCGGTCCTTGAACGATTCATGCAGTAACCATTAGAGCCAGGAGTCTTGAAAAACTTACTTGGTAGCTTCGATCAGTTCCGTTCGTAGCTTCTCCAATTCTGCTTCTTTCTCATCATAGTTAATCGATTCAGCAATTTCGCGCAGCTTTTCCAGTTCCCTCTGAATAGAGTTGCTTCCAGAATGAAGACCAGATTCACTGAGAAACTTCATGGAACTGCCTTACCCGTGTTGCGTAGAGTTCGTCCCTCAATTCGCGATTATCCTCCATCAGTTCCCTCATCTTTGCCTCAAATAACTCTACATTTTTCTTTTTAGAAGAAAAAAAAAGAATATCAAAGCAAATAGAGCTTACGGCCGTCGTTTGCTCGGTGTCCATCGCTTCGGTTTCAACTGCCATCAACATTGAGCTGCTCGCTTCCAGCTTAACGTAACAATTCAATTTTCCATTTCATTTTATTTTAAAATCAATCTGTATTGGTTGAGTTTTTGGGAGCTTCTTCAGTAACCTCTCACCTTCTGCCTCATGATTTCGTTTTCTTCAATTACATTACGCAAGTCGCGTTGTGTAGCCTCATGTAAAGCCGTTAGCTCTGCATACCTGAACAAATCACAAAAGTGACTTAAATAACTAGTAGATAGCGCAAGTGCTCCAAAGGAACTAGTTTAATGACCTGGATGCGCTCTCGTTGATGACTCTGGTAGCCTCTTCGAGGGCATCTCCAACGCGGGTGACCTCTTCACGTAGCTCATCGTTTTGCAGCACGATTGCCTAGTACTTGGCGATTCCAGGAGAGTAAAGCGACCTGGGCAACTTTACCCACCTGCATTTGTCGAGTAAGGGTTACAGCTTGCTCATTACGCTGTCGAAGCTTTCGGGATTCCCACTCGTTTGTTGTCTCTTCACTTTTTGCTGAAATCCTCCGTTGCAGTTCACGTATCGTATCCTCCATCTGATTTCTCTACAATGTAGAAGCGATTTTGGCAAGCCTCCAGACTTGAATCTCATCGGTCACTTACGTGTTGTTCGAGAGCATCACGTTCTCTTGTCAGCACGTCACTCTTTGACACCAAGCTTTCGAATCTGATATGATCACTTCATAGAGAGCCTCGGTACTTAATTAGTCCTACCCACCAATGTCAGCTCACATGTTGGGTATCGGAACTTACGCGGCCCTTGTTTTCCTTGGTCGTGCAGGGTTACACATCAAAGTAAAAAAATCAAGTTCGATTAAGAATGGGACCAAGTTTTCCCGTCGTTTTATGTCCTTCATGAGGGGCTCGGGAGACATATGTTCTCGGGAGAACATTTACAACATTATATTTAGTTCTATTACTGTACCGAGACACTCAAAACCCTGGGACATAGTTGTTTTCATTCGAGTCCTGGTAGTTCGCGCTGAGGGAGCTCCCGAGCTCATACTAAAACATGTTTACTGCCTACTCCGATGTTTTTCGTATGATTTGATGGTAAACAGGGAAAAAAGTACTGGAAAAGAATCTCTGCAATGTAAACAAAGCATCAGCAACAGCTGTAAATATCGCCCTGAATTCTCCGGAACCTACTGAAATCAGGGCAAGTGCTGGTGAGACTTACCTATCTCTCAAATCGGCCATTTCCCGATCGCGATCGCGATTTGCCTTTTCCAACTCGCGATTTTCCTCCCGTAATGAGTCAATCTGTGCTCGAAATGCTTCACTTGAATCTCCAGCATCTGCCGATACTGTGATTCTCTCGCGAAGGGTATCGAGCTCCTCCTGAAAAAGAACCGACTGGTAAACTGTAGAGATCGCTTTCCGAATCTTTCCCATTCGTAAACCCCGACAGCAGTATATCTTCGGAACTTCAGACCAACCTGCTCATGGGCAGGGTCGTGGTTCAGCCTATTTTCTTAACCGGTGGATTGCTTGACTAGATTAAAAATATGCTTGGGCCGTGCGAGGTTGTTAGGTGGAACAATTTATTAATTCAACGGCGTAACTTTGAAGAATATTGAATAACTTCAATATTAAATATTAATTAAGTTGTTTAGTTGATAAAAAATATTTTTAATCATAAATAACTATGCCGAGGTTAAAGCAAAAGGGAAGTTGGAGTGTGTGTGACCAGAATTTTCAGAAAAGAGGATTAATTAAGTATACAGCGCCCCACCTTCAGTGCCATTTTCTGTTCCTCCCATGCCTCCTCCTTCTCGGCCATTTGTGCCGCTTCCCGCTCGGCCACTTCTCTAAGCTCTTCAGCAGAGGTGAACGAGAAACTCATCAGGAACCTGAAAGCAGGAGGATCAAAAAGATAAGTGGAGCTTATTCTTTGCAAAACTTGATGTTCAACCTACTTCATTGCTTGGAAGAGTGTTTCAATTTCTTGTGGTGATTCTGTACCGTCCAAATCATACTGAAAACGACCATGCTCGCTCGGAAATCAATTTTTTGATGCAGAAATTTTTATTTTATTAAAGAACCTAAACTGTTTGGACATTCTCTAAACAGAATCACGAGCCAACCTTCAGAGTACCTCGAAATAGTCAGAACAGGATTCGTACATACCTCTGAAAGGCGCTCGTACCATAGATGTACGGATGAGCTGTCATCGGTCTGGTTGTCCAAGAAATCATTGAGCGCTTGATAGTTTATCAACTGAGTCATTCACAGCCAGAATAGGCCGAGAGTCTCAGAAATATAGCAAGGAAGAACCTAAAAAAGGAAAAAAGTATGGAAAAATTAAGAACACTTAAATTTTTTATTGTAAGTGAAAATTCACTTAAAACGTTTCAAGACTTCAGATTCAGTAGCTTCGTCACATACAAGTCAACAAGACAAACAAAATCCTAAAAAGAAAATTATCGAATAAGAAATTGCAAAATATCAGGTTGATGTATAATTATTGCGCGGCTTCTTTTTTTTT